TATATATATATATATATATATATATATATAAATTTAATACATAGAATATAATGTGCCTTTCATGTACAATAATACAGTACTGTGTCTTTTGTATGCTAGAGTTACATATGATATCATAATGATATCATATATAATACAAATATTTGCATATCTTTTATATTATGGAAGCTGTGAGAGTTCATTTGCCAGACCCTCATTTTTGTGTTATTCAGTTGCAATCCTTTGCCTATTAAGAATTATTTAAGTCATGTGTTATTCATTATACTATTTAAAAATAATTCTTTAATAAAAATAACTTTAAAACTACTAATCGCCTATTATATTGGTCAAATGAATCCACATAGTGAGTGGCACAGGAAAAATAAATCTACTCTCAAGAATGCAAATGCAAGCAACAATTAGACACAGATGTTGGTGACATTAGTTAAAATTTACAAAATACTATACTTCATATGTTTTTGGAGGACTATGGGGGATGCAAAATTACACTATAGTGAGTAATTGCAGTATGATGACCAATTTATAGAGACTAACACATGGATGAATGATACTTATTAGTACTTTAATTAATATACATCTACTGTAGCTTAAAAATTTACTCAGAAAGTGTAAGCTGTTCAAAATAATAGTTTTACTTCTCAAATCATTCCATAGAGCAGGTTTACAGCAATTATTAGAATCAACTGAAGAATTGATGCACTAAAAATGGAAGATATAGGCAAAATGCATATATGCAATATACTAAAATCAAATTGTGAAATCAGACCAATAAGTTTCAAAAAAACAAAATCTGGAACTTCTTTGCCATATAAATAATCATTTCATGATAAAATGCAAAACTGCTTTTTAATTCTTCCTAAAAACATGATGCACTTTTAAACTTTATTTAGTAAAATTACAGTGACAATTAGGATGATGATAATAGACTCATGCAGCTCTGTTACTTGTGAGCAGGCCTACATAAAAGTGCACTGTTAAATATCTTCACAAATAATACTAAATTGTGACCAACTTATAAAATCTTTTCAGTTGGTCTTTTTTTTCTAATTAACTTCATAATTCTTCACAGATGTAGGTTTTGTTGATATTCAATTTGTCTCTCTCATTTTGTTAAACCTCACATAGTACTCCAACAATCCAATGAATAGCCACATTAAATCTGTTAATACCATGCTCTTCAACCCCAGAAATTATTTCCAGAAGGCAAACTTGCTTTAAGAGTTCATCAAACAGAACTTAAGGTACACATTTTATCACATTTTCCCTACCACAGAGCTCAGGATGCAGAAGGAAATTCATGACTTTTGCACTGTTTATTATACTTTGGTAAATTACAAATCAAAAGCATCTGACAGAAAATCATGTATGAAGCCAGAAACTTAATAATGTTCCATGAAAAGTAAACTGTAAATGGGAAGGGTTTCTAAATCTCAACAGCACAGAGCAAGTAAAGTGAAGGTACTTGTCTAAATGATTGGTTTTCCAGACTTTTTAAAAAATTGCTAGAAGCAATTCTTATAAAAAGGAATTTATAATTTAAAACATTTCTTCTAACCAAAAGGAATTTCTTTGAAGTAAAAATACTCTAAAGTTTATATTTGAATTAATAAATTATATTCAGCCAGTTATAATCTAATTCCCCCAAGAGTTCTTTTAGTTACTTTTTTCAACACCCCTCCCTTTTTTAAAGTTGATTTACAAGAGTTAGAAATGTTGCCGATTTCAAACATGGAGTTACTTGTTATAAAGTTATAAATTACTTTATAATGCATGTATCAAAACTACATGAATTATTAAAACTGGTTTTAACTAGCATTGGATCTTTACCCCACAGATATTGGCATTACTAATGAAATATATTGACATATGACTCAAATATAAAACTGAAGACCAGCCTTTTGAAATAGACATAGAAGTCTATTTCCATGTCTAAATAAATAAAACATTTTGAATCGTACAAAATAGATCTTACTTTTGATAAATATATATATACAATCTCTGCTTTTGAATCAGGGAATTTTTTTAATTCTATGAATAATCCCAAAAACATTAACAACAAACCATTCTTCCATTTTTTCTGTGCCATTTGGAATCATGTACTTCCCTGCTATATTTATGAAAAATGAAACAATGGCTTGTTTTATAAATCTGTCACTGTGTAGGGATTCCGCTTCTAAAAGTTTAAGACAGGTCATTTAAAGGGACTACTACAACCCAAATAGTATCAAGATTTGAATAATACATATTTTATTTTAAACAAATATTGTGACATGGATTAACAAAAGTATAAACCTTTCAGAAAAATAAGAACAAAATTAGCAATATTAAGATCCATAGTATAGGGTGTGCTTTAAAAATGTACATATAAATAAAACACTCTAATATCTATATACTATTCTTAAAATTTGCCAGTTTAATTTTTGTTTTGCAGAAAAATATATTAGCTGGTTTATTATTATTATTCAAACTCTGAATTCAAATTTTATCATTTTCCTTGTAAAGTGCACTTACATTGTTTTCTGAGGCTAATTTAACATGATTATTATAGTCTGGGTGTTTTAAACATCTGGTGGCATTTATAAAATAGGTCAAAAATGAAACTTACATTTTTTATGAATGATGAAATTCAGAAGCTTCATATAAATACAGTGGTGTATTAATGCTAGTTAATTGTAAGCATTTAGTTTCCAAAAATAGAAAAGCTCTTACATTATAATTATGTCAGATAGCTTGATAAAGTCATCCTTTAATGCTCAGCAATTTTTCCAGGATTTCCTCCTTCAGAGTAAGCTGTCAAAATTTCTGCCACACATCCTTCCTCCAAATTTATTTTCTTTCCTTCTGAATTGTCTTTCACCAATTCAGGGATCTTTTTTAAATCACTCATCACTGGGTTATTTATTTTCAGTGACCCGCGAACACTTGAGAAAACTAAACAGTCATATCAAACAAATTTAACACAATAAATACTTTAGAAGTACAGAACATACGACTTGAAAGACGTCTACATAAAGAGGAAGCTCAGCCAAATTTTACTGCAAAAAAAAATTGTGACGTATATTAGGTATTAACAGGAATGGGAACGGGGGGGGGGGAGAGAGAAAAAACGTGCATATGATCCCTCGGTGGGGGATCACTTAGTTGCTTGGAAAACTTGTTTTTGCAACATAGAGCAGTCTTGCGGGTGACTTCCTTACTTCCTTCAGCCGGGCCAAAAATATGTGTTTGTGTGGGGGGTGGAGAGGGAGCTTTCTCACCCTTTTACAAGAAGGGACAGTTGTCAAATCCATGCAGTTTTCGAAACAGACAGGTTTGTACTTACAGCGAACGGCTTTGCAGCATCCACCCGGGGTTAGGTACTCCCTTCACGTGAACCAACCAGCGTTGCTCACATCGTTTTATTCTTTAAAAGCTCAACAGCCCGCGCTGGTTGAAAAAGAACAACAAAACAAACCGGTAACCCCCGACCCACTCCAAGCGCAGCCTAGAAGCGCCGCTCGCTCTGGAGGACAGTTTCGCGTTTAGGGTGAGGAGCGGGTGAGGAGGGTGACTTCTGCTGCTGCTGCTGCCGCCGCCGCCGCCGCCGCCGCGGGCTGTGCTTGCCAAGCGTCTGTGTGAGGCAAAGGAGAGTGAGTGAGGTGGCGGCGGCGGCGGCGGGAGGGGCGGGGAGGGGGGCCTTCGGGTCTCCAGAGCGAAATTGAAAACAGCCAACGAGGACTTTCCCAGGAAAGGCTTAAAGTCGGAAGTGGCACTGAAGGGTCCGTCTGCAGCAGCACCCAGTTCCCAAATCGGCGCGCGCCTAAGTTCCCGCTCAAATCCTCTCGCAGCAAACCAAGGCTTCGCTCGGCTCGCTCGTTAGCTCGTCGGCTCTCCGCAAACGCGGCCGGAGATACGTTCGCTGAAGAGCAGACAAAGGAACAGCCGAAGCCTCGCCGGCGCTCGCTCGTTTGCCTCTACCTTGGCCCAGGCTTGGAGGTCTGCCCCAATCTAGCCCGAAGGCTTTTTTTCCGCCTTCTTTCCCCCCCACCCCCAACAACACACACACCCTCCTTGCGACTCGTCCCCTTTTGTTTATTCCCAATGCAAACCACAGCTAGTCTCTCTCTCGCCCTTATTGGTTTGAACAGGCGAACAATCGAAGTCAGCCTTGGGCTGGCTCGTCGGAGGCCACCTTTGCTGGCAAGCAATTTTGGTATGCAAATGAAGGATCCTGCGGCATGTGCATAAACAGCTGTGGGTGATGGGTGGAGGGGGAAGACATGCAGCTGAGCGCGCCCTGTCAAGAAGCGGGCCGACGGGCTGGCTCTCTGCTGCGGAGGCACCGGCGTTCCCGAGCCACGTAGAGCTTCGCAGAACGGGCGGCGCGGGGGGAAAAAAGCCCCCCTTTGCACCTTCCGAGGTTGCTAGCCGAGCGTCGGGTTCCTTAGCTCGGAGCAGAGCTGGGAGATGGGAGAGAGGTGGATGGACTGAAAGCCTTCCCCAAAGCAGGCGACCAAGGAGAGTTCGCGGCACTCTCCTGATCTGCTTAAGTACAGCTAAAGAGGGCGATCCAGCAATACCAACTCCCGCGTCTGCACTTGTTTGGATGCGTATCGGATTTTTGTTCCTGGTTGTTCCTTAAAGAGGCAAAAATACGAAAGAGAACAAGAAGGTTAAACGCTAAACCTCTCACCCGTGTCGACCCCCAGCAATTTGACAGAATAACCAGCAACCTTTCAACTGTTTATAATGTAGCGATTAAAACGATGGTGGGCAAAATGAATTATTTAAATACACTTCTACTTGGATTCAAAAAATTGGGGGGGGTAGTAATTCTGCATACTCCTTATTTTTACTCATTTTCTCTTCATAACGACATATATACATTGCTTTACATATGTTAAATATTAACATGAATGGGAAAACTTTAGAGACAATTTTTAAAACTAATTATTAGATAAGACAATTACCTGAAATCCAGATAGCTAATATTTGTTGCTTTGAGCAATTTAACCAATCTGAGAAAACACACCTATTTCTAAATTAATACTGGTCCAATTCCAATACAAATAATGTACTATCAAAGATAAAACTATCATTTGTTAAAACATATTAAAATATCTGTAAAAACTGTTTTTGAACGAAGGGTATAGTTGTGCCTGAATGTATTGCAACATCAAGTAATATGAGTACACAGTTGAATATTGGAATACTATGCAAAGTTAACTTCAAATAATGTTTGTTATAAATAAAACTTATAACATCAACATACTTTGCACATACTTTATTGTGCAATGTCCAGCTTACATATTTTCAGGAAAAAAAGTACATTGGGTAAACTTTCCACAAGGCCAGGAAATTGTGCCATGACAGCCTTGAGCAGACTCTGGTTGCTTAGGGAAGGCAAAAAAAACAAAACCATGATAGACACTTCCATATATGGAAGGTTAAGGTCAAAATCCACATATGTCTGTTAGGTCTGCCTCTGTGGCATGACACATATATTCATAATATATCTCCTCTCTTAATTCTTAAATACATTCGAAGTAGAATTTGTAATGTTATATTAAACTGCATTGCCAATAAAATCATATGCAATGTTTTAATTTCATTGAAACACTTTACTAAGGTAAAATACTTTTAGGATGACATAGAATGCTCCTTATTTTGTGAGTTCTTTTCATAAGTAATTCGTTTAACTAATTTGTAGTAATATATACAGTAATGTCTTATTTCTCAAGTACATGGTTAATACAAAACTTTATTGGAAAAAGCAGTTTTATATTTATTTTGAAACACACACGTAATGATTTTTTCCCCCAAAAGGCAAGAAAAGAGAATACGACGCAGGATGGCAAACACTGGACTTGAACTAATTTTTCACAAATCAATAGTAACTTTATGTACTCTGTATTTAAATCATGTCTATTCCTAATTGATTAATGATTAAGATGTAAGCTATCTCAAATAAGACAGGTGCATATGGACCTGGGAATAATGATCTGCTTTCAATTTGCATTATTTAGTAAAACAATGATGTATACTTACTATAAGTATAATCTTTATTGCCATTGTACTTAAATACAATGAAATTGGTTATATACTGACTACAGCTAACATGCTGCTAAGCAATTATACTTCTGTGCTAGCAAATATTTAACAAAGTGTTAAATATGGTAGTAACATCATAAAAATGTTTTTTATTCTAACATGTGTTTTAATACAGTGCTTTTCAGCAGTTGTCCACCTATAATATCATCGGAGGGGAATAGAATTTTGAGTATTTGATTTGTTCTTGTCTTCATAGTAGATGAAGCTCTTATACTTGGTGACTTTTTATAATTTGATTGTGTATTCTTTTGTGGGACTAATTTACTAATACTTCTCATTGATTCCTCCTCTTTCTCATTGAATATCCAATCCACACTCTCAAATTATAATACTTATGCATAACATATTTGGTAGCAAATTCTACTGAAATCAATTTATTTAATGTATTTAAAATCAGGATATCATACTTCAGTGAACTTCTTTGACCACTAAAACAGCATAGGCCCACTGTAGTTATTCTGAATATATTTAAACAGTTGCTTACTCCCCAGAACAATGCACAGTGCCATAAAACAATAATAAAGGGTAAATTTTATTTGCTTTCAAGAATGGTATACTTCCATTAAAATATTTTGGGAAAGTTTACACTATCTTTTGGGAGTACACAAATCAGCAGGTATCACTCAGATACAGTGCAAGAAAATCCTATTGAAAATTCAGAATTCATTTTATGCTGCTGGACTAAACCAAAAGTTTTTTGTTTGCTTGCTAGTACTGTAAATATCAAAAGGAGACAATGCAGTCTGGTCTCTAGGGTAACTTCTGGAGATAAAGCGAGAATGGTCTGTGTGATATTCTTCCCAATCTGCGTATGGAATATTGGGATATAGTTCTTTACCTATGACGTCCAAAGCCAAACAATCTGGAATCTCTTACATTTCAAACATTGAAACAAAGGGCAAAGATGGTTAGCATAAGACATTCAGATAATATCTTGCTATCTTTGGTTTTTTTAAAATAGAAATTTACTTCATAAGCAGTTTTAATACTGAATGGGAATCATTTGCTGGGATGCAGATGTTGTACTAGCAATACTGTAAATATATGGAAATATTAGGATATATTATGGTATGGCCTACAATATTTATTAGGCCATGCCATACACACAAGGAATATTAGAAGAAGTATTAACAGGGTATTCTTCTTTCCTTAAAATATAAGTTCATATAAAAGCCAATTTAGGCACATTCAAGCATTGACAGTACTGTATTCAATGAAATATTTTTGAACAGCTGTCCCTAGTGATATATCATAAAACTGCTTCTGAAATGCTGTGAAGTTTCAAAACATGATTCTTCTGTTTGTGAATTTGCACAGGAGATATATGGAACTGATATACTGCAGGTTCCCTCAAGCAGATGCAGTACTTGGAAGTTCTGATAAAAATGTATATCAAATCAGATAAAATCTGAAGATAATGATTAAGAAAACTATTTTAATTTAAGAGTTATCTCAATTCTGTTGGATTTTAAAGTTACCTATATTGATCCAGCAATTCATTTTAGGCATAGTAGCAGAAATATGCACTTATCAATACATTTATTTTTTAAAAGTTTAATTGCTTCAGGTGATAGTTTAAGAGCAGATGTATCCTTTGAGTAAACAAATAGACAAAATTAGAGAAGGACAAATCTGCTATTTCTGTTTTCTAACTTGAAAAGTTCCATTTACTCCAGTTATGAAGAAATGTATAAATTTCAGTGAATGTTATTCAGAATGCTCAATTTGAATGATATTATTAATAAATTGTGGTGAAATTCAACAGATGTTATTGTTAACCATACATAATGTTGTAAAAAGCATCTGAACCCCAAATTTTAAGAGATAAATGTTCAACATACTCCTTGGATAATAGGAATATTTTCTTTCGTTCTGAGTAGATTTTATTGTACTCTCAATCTCTTTCCATTATTTTTAATGCAAATAACAAAATAATTTAATGAATGTTTATAAAAAAATGAACCAATTACAAATCTTACTCATATCTTTACAGAGTGAAGATTCTGTAAAGAACCCAAGTCCTTATTGTGATAGTTATTTCTAGAACAGGAATCAGGAGGCAAATTCTTTATATAAATAAGATATAAGATAGATAGAAAGATAGATAGATATATATATAGATAGATAGATAGATAGACAGACAGACAGACAGACAGACAGACAGATAGATTAGATATTTTTTCTTCCTTTCGCTTGAAAGTACTTTCAGAATGGCTTGCTTTCAATTAAAAAATAAGAACATACAATCAGGAAAAAATATATGAATAACAAGCCACCAACAAACTTCCCTGTATAAATATGATAGGATGGATCCACATATATCATTCAGATCTCATTCCTGACACTCTTTAAGCATCCTAAACTTTTCATAGTTCTTTCTTATCTGTATCTATAATTATTATTAGGATAAATTTGACAGTTGTGACTTCTTTGCTTGTCTTGAGGAAAAATTGTGTTGAGATTGTGTTCGTTTAATGAAACTTGCAGAGCTAAAAAGTGCCTGACATTATCTTACATTATATTTTCATAACCTAATTATATTTTCAACCCTA